TGAGCTTTTGCGAGAAGTACGCGATTGGCTTCTCGGCACCGTCATTTTCCTTCTGGTATAGTACAGCGCCTACGCCGTAATCAGACGCGTCGCACTGAACCAAAAAGCGTTTGGAGAAATCTGGGTGTTTCAGCACCGGCGCTCTCGTGAGCGCTCTCTTTAGACTTTTGAACGCCTCCAAAGCTTTCGTGGTCATTTCAAATTTCTGCCACTTTTTCAATGTGTCGGTTAAAGGCGCTGCCATCGTGGCGAAATCTTTAATAAAACGCCTGTACCCACCGGCAGTGCCTAGAAAACTGTGTACTTGTTTAATCGTTTTAGGGAACGGTATGTTTTGTATAGCTTTTACCTTTTCAGGGTCGGTCTTTAGCAAACCGCCACCTACAATATAACCCAGGTAAGGTAACTCTTTGAAACAAAATTTTGATTTCCTTAATCCTATTGTTAAATTTGCATCTTTCAGGCATGTCGCAACTTCGCTTAAGATCCGGATGTGCGAATCGAAGTCCGGCGCAATGATCAACAGGTCATCTAAGTATATGAAAACGTTCGATTTGAGCTTTTGGGGAATCACGCGGTCCATTAGTCGACACAACCTTTGGGCCGCGTTGCATAATCCGAACGGCATTGTCACGAATTGGTATAGCGGACGTCCCGGCACCGCAAACGCCGTATATGGTTTGCAGGTCTCCTCCAGCTAAATTTGCCAAAACGCGAATTTTAAGTCTACACTGCTTATGAAGTGGGTGTCGTCTATACGACTGAGTATACCTTCGATGTTCTGTAATGGATACGCGTCCTTTACAGTCACGGCATTTAATTTGCGTGCATCCAGGCAGAAACGAGTTTTTCCAGGTTTGCGGACGATTGCCGTACGATTACTTCACGGGCTTTCACTTTCTTCAATCACGCCCAGTTCCAGTATTTTGTCAACTTTGGCATACACGATTGCTTCCAACGCTGGAGACAGTGGATAATGCCTGTCTTTAATGGGGACTGCATCGTCAACCAACTTGATGTTGTGCTTTTCCAGCTGAGTTCGTCCTAATCCGTGCTTTTCATAGGTTTTGAANCGTTGTTTTTGATCCGCCGTAAGGACATGCAACACGCGCCGCTCATTCCTGTCTTCTTCGGACACCATCTCTTGCTCTAACTTGGTCAAATCGATTTCACTCACGGATATCACTTCTGGGGACAAGCGGAAGGCGCGCCAGAAGTCCACCCCAAGGTAAATCTTTTGCTCTAGGTATGGGCATAAGAAAAATGTAATGTTTTGTTCTACGTTTTTGTATTTCACAGGTATGGTAAGCTTGCCTAATATATTGTGCGTGCGACCGCCCGTAGTTTTTACACACGAAAAGTACTTTTCAATCGGTGCGCATATCTCTTCCACGAACTCGCGGCAGCCTTGGCCCAGAATGCTTACGGACGCCCCAGTGTCTAACAGGCCTCGTGTCGATAACCCCTTTATCTCTATGTCCGCGTAAACGCGCGGATCCTGTTGATCGGCGTGTTTAACCGACGCTACAACTTTTTGCCGCAGTGTTTTCCGCTGTCGGAATCTCTCCCGGGCCTTTTGTATTCTTCGCGACACTATTCGGCGCCCCATTGGCGCACTATCGGCGAAAATTCGTTGGCATGTTTCGAGATATTTCCTCAGTCTTTCCTCGTAAGGTGGCATACTTCCATTTTTTGTGACTACTTTGTTTCTCTTTGTTGTTATTATTTCAAAAATGTTACTTTCCGTTTTGGTTTCAGATGAGTTTGCATCACGACCCAACTCCCCGTCTGGTTCTGTATTCGTTGAGGCATCTACTCGTGCGGGGTCTGTGTGGAGCGCGATTCCCCCGTCGTAATAGCGTTCCGCACTGCGTTTCCCGCTGGATTGCAAGATGGACACTTAGGTGTTATCACGTCCGACTTTCCGCATTTAAAACAAAAAATTCGACGTTGTAGCATTCGGTGAAAACGTGGCCTTCGGCGCCACAATTCCAGCACGAAAAATGTCTACGGCCAGCTGGCGGCTTAGCTGAGCGTTGATGGCGTATTTCCTCCACGGTGACTTGACCCTCATCATCTTCGATGGAGCTAATCTCGTTAGCCTGTTGTGCGCGTTGTCCGAAGCCACTAGACAGCATGAGTTCTCGGCGCGGAAAACAAAGTTCCACTTCTTTGCATTCTAGCTTTAGCTGTTCGAGTGAGTATGCGGAAATTGGGTAGACTATTTTGGCAAGAGATTCGCGTAAGTTACCCTTTACTAATCTTATTATTTCGTACTCAGGGATCGGGTTCCTGAGACGCGAGCGCAGTGTACCTACCACATGGAAGTATTCGTCGATAGCTTCACCTGGTCTTTGTTTCCGCTCCGTCAAATCTCTCAGGATTTCGAAGTCGGTGCATTGCGATGCGAACTGGCGCTTAAGCGCAAACTGTAGACTTGGCCAGTCGACCTTACCGTGAGATCGAATGTAAAGCCAGTACCATTCTCGCGCCTCCCCGCCTAACAATCGATGAAAATCGCGCAAAATATCGCCCCACGAGCACACGTATAATTCTTTTAAATATTCTAATCGGAACAAGAAGTCTTCAATCGACAGCGAATCGCGATTCCCTTGATAGTTTATGCCCCACTTTTCGATGTTAATCTCTGGTCGGCTAAATTCTTTGTTGTTTTCTTTTCCAGATGGCGGAAGAGCGACCTCGGGGCCAGCTGCTGGTATCCCTACCACTACTATTGGCGTCTGGCGAGGTGGCGCTGGCTCATCGACAGCGAAAGCATGCGCAGCTGAATGGGACATTGGAACGTAATTATTTCTGTTAGTGTTGTTTTGATTAAAATTCTTATTTATAGGTAGTTCCCCGGAGCGTCTGGACTCAAGCGACTCAATACTGGAGTTGTGTCTTCTCCTTTTGTTTCGATTCCGCGACCTATTACCGACACCTGAAGATTCTAATCCTGCCCCTGTAGTTCTGATCAACCCGGGTATGGTCTCGCGCATTTCTTTTAACAGGGTGTGTTTTACTTCAGCCATCATTTCTTTCAAGACCGGCGCTAACTCAGTGCGAATGTCTCGAACATTATTAAAGGTGCCCGTGGACATCCGGTCAGAGTCGCTAAGGGTAGTTGGAGGAGGCAGGGGACAAGTCAAGGTGGGTGCTGATACTCCCCCAGAGTGCGTTGCTTGGAATTCGGTTTGTTGTTTTGGGACAGCACCGGTACTTCGAATCGGATTTCCCGGTATGTTATTCGAGTCTCCCTGCCTAGGATTTACAGCAGTTTCCCCGCGTTACCACCCCCAATTCGGTCCGATAGATCTATAAAAGCTGGGTTGTTCGCGCATAGCGCTTTAGGGTTCGGCACGTGCGCTGATTGCATAGCAGCGTTTCTGGTTCTATATCGCGTCTTATATGGGATTGACATACCTACCATCCGCTTATTATTTCTCACCAATAGGTTTTAATTTATTCGATTGATTCTTTAACTCTCTGATTCACGTGTGAGGGGTAGAGATGACTTCGGGTTTTTTAATAGATAATGATTTTTTTTATTTTTTTCCATTTTTGAGACCTGATCGGAGCAAAACCGTATCCTTCCTGTGCGAGCGTATGCGCTTTCTGTAACTAACTTGGTTAAAAAAAAAAATCATCTTTCTGGAAGACGTTGTCCTACACAATTGATAGAACACTTGCGGTCACACGTTTCCTTCCGTTCAAAGCAACTTACTGCTAAGGACTTGGAAAAAAAAAAAACTAAATAAACCAACTGAATCAAATTTCTAACTAAACTTCGATTATTGACTTAAGCGACTGAAAAAGGCTTTGTTTTATGACGATGCTTATAGCCGGGACTACTTCTATCCGACTATGCCACCGGTAGGTTATAGTCAGGAACTGGCGACGTGATCCCCTTTCCTAAACCGATGCCATTGAATTTTAGTGGGTTTCAATTAAGCAAGTCACCTGGTTCAGAAAAAGGTCACATCTAGCCAGGACCGTTTGGTTAGATGATCGAATAGTATGTATACTAATTACATTTTTTTTTTTGGATCGAAATTCATTTATAACAAATGAGCTATGCCTGTTTTCCTCACCGGTTCCTATTTCTCTTTGTCCTGGTCTTCCCCAAGACACTACTTCTGGCTCATTCGCGGGCGCCAATTCCAACCTGCGGCGCTGCTGTCATCCCTATCGTTTTATGATTGGGCGCCATTTTAATTATTGTAACGTACACGTACCTGTTTATCCGCCCTTCTNAACTCGCGGGCGCCAATTAAAACCTGCGGCGCTGCTGTCATCCCTATCGTTTTTAATTGGGCGCCATATTAATTATTGTAACGTACACGCACCTGTTTATCCGCCCTTCTGTCGTTTTTGCAATCAATGTGGTGACCCGTACTAGCTCAACATTTGTGTGTGGCGCGGTTCCCAATCCTTGGCCACATTGAAGCAGGGCGGATGTTACAATCATCATCGGCATCTTTCGTCTCACAAGAAGCCGACCGGTCCTTGGACCGCTCTTCCGGTTGGCGATTTACTGCGGTTCCCCCTTTTTTTTTTTTTACCTTGCTCCTCTCGTCTCTTATCTAATGCCCCTAGTCATCTTCCCCCACCCTTCGATTAAACTTTAACCAATCATTTTAGACGGCTTCATTTAAAATATGGTACAATAAAAATTTATTAACAAAAAAAACATACATTTCATAGGAATCGTATATATGTACATGTGTACGCTAAGATTATTAAGTATGCATGTACGTATATAAAATCGCCAAAAAAAAGAAACCAAACATCAACTCGGAAGTTTACAACGCTTTTAAAAACACTGGAAGCCCTAACCACCTACCTAAAAGAGCTCTCTTAAGTGGATATGTGAGATCTTCCGGACCGGATTTTCCCAGCCCAAACCATGCACTCTTTAGCAGACTAGTCGGTTTGGCGTTCTTTTCTCATTGGGCGTGACCACACAGGATGGTTTACACAAACAAATTTAATGGAATAACAGATAAAAAAATTTTAATTAAACAAAGCCTCTAAAATTAACTATATGTGTATTACACCGCTCGGACGACCTCCTTCCTGACTGTTTGATTCGCCGCCTCTGTGCGCGCTGTTAACTCAACAGCCTGGTTGCAGTCCTTGCTGCCGAGACAGAGGGTGACACCAGTATAAATTCCCTGCCGCTATTGGTGTGAGCTTTCCATAGGGGCATTCCACTAATGTGGCAATATACACATATATAAAAAAAAACTGCCTTAAAGTTCTACCACTCACCAGCGAGTTGTGCCGCGCCCTTCTGCATCCACGTGCGATCGTTGGTTTTGCGATATGATGGCACACTAGGACAGAAACCCAAAAAAAAACTTTAAAAACTACTCCACTATAAAATATTTTCCACGCTACTCACATCTCGCCGGGGGACTTGCTGCCTACTTGAAGCTCCTAGGGAGTGGGGCGCTGTATGTACTCGAACTCGTGGTCTCTTCTACGTGCAGTTCCTGCCGTGGACGGGTGTGTCTCCGCGGGATATTTGCGCGTGCAATCGGGGTCGTTCTCCCCCTCCCAAACACGCGATCCCGGGTAAAAAGAACACGGCACTTATTTTGTTTTTTTCAAAAAAAAAAACACCGCACTGTACTTTACTTTTCTTTTTTGTGTAAAGACCAAACTTCACAAAAAACTATAATCATTCGCGCACTGTGGATGCGGTTCTTGTTGAACACGAGGCAGATCTATCCTATGTCCTACAGTTACCCCCTTTTTATAGGCCGTTTTCCACCTAGTGTTCTATCAAAACACCGTTTTTTCCGAATAGTTTTCATTGTTCTATTTGGCCAATCACAAGTGCGCGCACCCTACATCTATCCCTTTCCCGGCGAATTCCATTATTCACGACACCCCAACTCGCAGTCTGGCAGCCCGAGAGCATGAGAGCTTAGTAAATTTCCCTTTGTGGTATATTTTTGTTCCCATTGATTTATTTGACATTTCCAACCAAAACAATGGCAATCAGAAAAAAAAAAAGTGCTGCATAAACAACTACCTTATTTCATTTTAAATGTGGATTTGCTTTCCTTCGAGCGGGCCAAGGATTATTCCTAAAAAGTGAGAGCCCAACGTGGGGAACACCCACCCTGACACGGTCTCCTGCCTCGAGAGCTAAGCCGGGCATTTGTGTACAGCGCATATGTATAAATATGTGCAAGTGGTTTACGGGAAGATCAATGTACTTTACCTCAGTGCACGAGTTTTACTTTGTGCGCTATTTGCAGGGTAGATGCGGTGTAACCTATTCGATGACTAGGACCTCTCCGCCGACTTGAACCTCATCATTGGAGAGATGGATTTCCGATGGGTGGTAGCTTCATTGTTTGATGTCCTTGGCATGTCATGCTCCCAGGCTCTTTCCCGCAAGCGTCTCTAAAAGGTACATGTTATTGCCCAGCGCTTTTGTTATTCGACACTTTGTAAACTTTTTGCAAAATTTCGCGTTTATATTTTGTTTGAAATCGCTTACTACGAAGTTGCGTTTATAGACCTCTTGGCCAGGGTTAAAACGTGTCTCACGGATTCTTTTATTGTAGCGCGCCGCGTTTGCCTGGTACGACTCACTCAGGTTTTCTTTTATTTTCTCGCGCATTATCTTTAGTTTATCGCTGTTATCGAATAAGCGTAATTCATGGTCGTCCAGGCTGTTAAGCTTTCGTGCCCATGTATAATCCGCGCCATTCGTAAACATATTTTCACCGAATAACGCAAAATATGGAGCTACCCCGGTCGCCGAGTGTACCGCACTGCACGGGGCGCATTCTATTACCGTTAAATACAGATCCCAATCGCGGTGGTCTTTGTCCAGATACGACCTGATGGGGGCCAGCACCGATTGATTTACTCTTTCAGCTGCGTTAGATTGCGGAGCGTAATATGCCGTCTTTAAATGTTTTACGCCGTAGGCTTCCACCAATTGTGCAAATTGTTTCGATGTGAATTGTTGGCCATTGTCGGAGTGTATAGTCTCCGGCACACCAAATTTATGAAAGATCTCTTCCGTAAGGAACTTGACCACGTTTCGACGGTGGCGTCGCGCATTGCCTTCAAAAAGATAAATTTCGAGAAGTGATCTACGACAATAAAAATGTAACAATTTACGCGCTTTGACCTCGGATATTTGCCAAGAAAATCAACGTATATTTTCTGGAATGGGCGCACCGTAACTACTTAGTTACCCATACCAGGTTTTAAAATCGTGTTGCTTGGTTTTGCTTCCTTGCACGTTTGGCAGTTGCGCACGAAATTTCGAACCTGCGCCACCATATTTGGCCAGTAATACAACCGCCGCAAGCGATGGAGTGTTTTGGCCATACCCCCGTGTGCGTTGATTTCTGGACAGTGCGCGTTCTCTCTTAGAGTAGAGGTTAGTGCTTCTGGTACCCACAGCTTCCATTCGGTCTCTTCGAGTTCTACGTTCGTGGCCAAAACCTTTTTGAACACTAAACCATCTTCTACCTTTAAATCCGGCAGCCGCTCTGCGTTCGCTTCGATCGTCCTCACCAGCTCCTGATACTCTTTAGACTCGAATTCCACAGTGTCCATGCCAGCGATTGGGGAATTTGTGATTTCGTCGATACATCGCGACAGCGTGTCAGCAACTATATTGTCCGCGCCTTTTCGGTGCTCAATGTTAAAATTAAATGCTTGTAGCTATAATGACCCCTGGCTAATCGACCATTCAAATCTTTCAAGGACATCAGCCACTTCAGGCTAGCGTTGTCCGTCACCACCGTAAAAGGCATTAGATCTATATAAGCGGAATTTCTTAACAGCCATCAAAGCTGCGAGGCATTCTTTTTCCGTGGTGCTGTACCTACGCTGACAGTCGCTGAGCTTTTGCGAGAAGTAAGCGATTGGCTTCTCGGCACCGTCATTTTCCTTCTGGTATAGTACAGCGCCTACGCCGTAATCAGACGCGTCGCACTGAACCCAAAAGCGTTTGGAGAAATCTGGGTGTTGCAGCACCGGCGCTCTCGTGAGCGCTTTATTTAGACTTTTGAACGCCTCCAAAGCTTTCGTGGTCATTTCAAATGTCTGCCCCTTTTTCAATGTGTCGGTTAAAGGCGCTGCCATCGTGGCGAAATCTTTAATAAAACGCCTGTACCAACCGGCAGTGCCTAGAAAACTGCGTACTTGTTTAATCGTTTTAGGGAACGGTATGTTTTGTATAGCTTTTACCTTTTCAGGGTCGGTCTTTAGCAAACCGCCACCTACAATATAACCCAGGTAAGGTAACTCTTTGAAACAAAATTTAGATTTCCTTAATCCTATTGTTAAATTTGCATCTTTCAGGCATGTCGCAACTTCGCTTAAGATCCGGATGTGCGAATCGAAGTCCGGCGCAATGATCAACAGGTCATCTAAGTATATGAAAACGTTCGATTTGAGCTTTTGGGGAATCACGCGGTCCATTAGTCGACACAACCTTTGGGCCGCGTTGCATAATCCGAACGGCATTGTCACGAATTGGTATAGCGGACGTCCCGGCACCGTAAACGCCGTATATGGTTTACAGCTCTCCTCCAGCTCAATTTGCCAGAACGCGAATTTTAAGTCTACACTGCTTATGAAGTGGGTGTCGTCTATACGACTGAGTATACCTTCGATGTTCTGTAATGGATACGCGTCCTTTACAGTCACGGCATTTAATTTGCGTGCATCCAGGCAGAAACGATTTTTTCCAGGTTTGCGGACGATTGTCGTACGATTACTCCACGGGCTTTCACTTTCTTCAATCACGCCCAGTTCCAGCATTTTGTCAACTTCGGCATACACGATTGCTTGCATCGCTGGAGACAATGGATAGTGCCTGTCTTTAATGGGAACTGCATCGTCAACCAACTTGATGTTGTGCTTTTCCAGCTGAGTTCGTCCTAACCCGTGCTTTTCATAGGTTTTGAAAGCACTCACCACCTGCCCCAAGCGTTGTTTTTGATCCGCCGTAAGGACATGCAACACGCGCCGCTCATTCCTGTCTTCTTCGGACACCATCTCTTGCTCTAACTTGGTCAAATCGATTTCACTCACGGATATCACTTCTGGGGCCAAGCGGAAGGCGCGCCAGAAGTCCACCCCAAGGTAAATCTTTTGCTCTAGGTATGGGCATAAAAAAAATGTAATGTTTTTTTCTACGTTTTTGTATTTCACAGGTATGGTAAGCTTGCCTAGTATATTGTGCGTGCGACCGCCCGCAGTTTTTACAGACGAAAAGTACTTTTCAATCGGTGCGCCTATCTCTTCCACGAACTCGCGGCAGCCTTGGCCCAGAATGCTTACGGACGCCCCAGTGTCTAACAGGCCTCTTGTCGATAACCCCTTTATCTCTATGTCCGCGTAAACGCGCGGATCCTGTTGATCGGCGTGTTTAA